TCAGATGCCAAACCCACTGCCCTTTCCCTGCAACACACACACATCTGCATCAGTCAAAGCAAGTCTAAATGAGAATATGGTTTGTGTGTGCAGAAGGCAGGCAGGGGTGAATTCCATCTAATTACTCTATCACATAATTTCACAAATTGCCTTTTCAAAGGGGAGTGGAGAGCAGAGCGCGGGATGCAGTAGGGATTTGAGGCCTGAGCTTTCGTTTAGCACTCATCTCTTGTTAAATGAAACAAGAAAATACCATTTGTGTAGAGGGAAGGGTGCAGGTTAGGTGTGGTGGGTGGGTTGCAAGTGTACAGTTGAGATGGGCATGTAGAAGAGGATAAGACAGCTTCTTACTCATCACAAGACTTTTTTATTCGGTTGTAAGTATCAACATAACAGTTACGTAATACATTTAGAATTGCTTTCACCATTTAAGACAATTTTGGTAACCATAATTTTAGTCATTACCACTCTTTAGAGTATTACCAATGTGTTGCTTGTTAGGAAAAAAACAGATAAGCTGATTTCTTTGACCAAATAGCTGATCAGTAAACTGGGACCTTTATTTTAAGAGGTCAAAAGAAAACAATCATTAAAATGTGATGAAAAGCCCTCCCTCTCCTTTTATTTTGGGACCCTACCAAGTTTACAGCTGCATGTCAAGCTGGCAGCAAGCTGCATAGTTTTGCCATTGGTGACAGGCGGTTAACGCTAATGTTTTGTCGTCGCTCCAAGTCAGCACAGCCAAATTCTTGCGATGAACTTGTCCCACAAGTATTGTCGACAACATATGAGCTCATTGGGTGTGTTGGAGAAAACTCAGTGAGCTGCAAACGTAATCACAAATTCAATGCTGCTGCTCTGACGGTCACAAACCTGTCATTTTACTTGTCAATCTATAGAAATCTTAATACTCTAAAGACAACAACAACAAAAACAGCAATGTTTTAAACCTACAAGAAACCTATATGCACCATCATATTAATGCCACCTTACCCTGCTGGTGCACTCATAACCCCAGTTTGCCACCCACCTTCCCATGCCGCTTTGTTGCAGCGGGAACTCCCTTGAGGAGCCAGATGTGAGGGCGACTAACATGCAATACAATTAAATTCAGTATCCCAACGTCTGCTTTAATGCTAATGCATTTTGCTGCTATATTTCTTATTCAGTCACTGCACCTGTATTAGATAACTTCATCATAATTAAAACTGAAAAGCAAATCATTCTGACTCATTCAGATTTATAAAGTGTATTAGCACTTTGCCATGAAGATGGCATATACCTACATATACAGTATTTGTACATGTATGGATTCATATGTGCTTATCTGGCATCATGTGTAACTCCAAGAGGTCACACTGTCATCTACCATCCTTTTGTAAATCAATACAGAGCAGATAAAAAAAGCCAATTGAATGAGCCTGGATCACTTGTTTAAGATCATATTGGTACCAGTCATGCTGGCGTGCCATGCAACCAGTGAAATAGATACTGTAGGTCTTTGTATCAAACAATCTATGAATAGCATTTATAAACACAGATATTTGGTGATTAAATTGATGATGGCAGTGAAAAATTATTATTGTAAACAAATGAGACCACAGCATGACATGCTTGTGACACTGGCTATGCTGTTGGTGTCAGTCCATCCATTATCTTTTACCCACTTCTTCCATTTTGGGACACGGGGTTCGCCGGTGCCCATGTCCAGCAATCACTGTGCGAGGGGTGAGGTACACCCTGGACAGGTTGTTGGTGCCAGTGTTTCTCAAAATTAAGACAATTTTTGGTAAACAAAGGTCCTGCTCCTCCAGGTTCTGTTTCATTTCACAGAGAATGATAAACACATTGGAAATGATTTTCAGATAAACTTCTCACTTTACTGAAAAAAGCCGCAACACAATAAAAGCTGTGGGTTTTCTCTCCTTTACGTCCATAGTGCATACTTTAGTTCCTTTGTCCTTTTGCCTGTTAGAAAATCAAATAGTCGTTTTACCCATACCAAACACATATCTATTCAACTGTTTAAAACATAAGTGTAGAAGCCCCTCATAAACCCGACTCATAAGGCAATATGTCAGAGAGGTGTTACTATGTGTGTCTCACACGTGTATACTATGTTGTGTTTCCACAGAGAGGATGTGTGTGTTTCAAACACATTTCCTTTGTGTCCCTGAAGGTTTTGGGGTATATGTGTAGAGGTCAGATAAAAAGGGAAGAGCAGAAAGGTAAAAAGTATAGGAAGTCTTGTGAGATGCAAATTAATGGCAAAGGCATACCAAAAATACGTTTGCCAAAACGCCACACAGTAAGAACATTCTTGCATTGGATATTGAGGAAAAAACTGGGAAATCTGTACATAAAAACTAGCTACAAACTGATAAAAGTTGAGTCCATGCAATATCCATAATCCAATTCATATATGACCTTCCTCAGCATCCTCCCGGTTGGCAAAGCAAACCAACATTCAGCCAAACTGTATCATGTTCTACCCAAACTCCTGACGCAGGCAGAATGTGATTGATGCATGATTTGGTAAAGTACTTTAAAAACACATTTTCTTGGAACAGCTCTTAGAGGAAATCTTAACAAACCCATAAGAAAGAACAAAAATAATTATTATTATTTCTGGCTCTTGGATTTGCTTTACTCTAAACTTTGAACTCTTCCAAGGCAGCTTTACTTTTTTGTATCTTGTATCTTGTGCTCGGATAATATAATATTTGAAAATTACTTGCTGTGAGTCAGTGAATGTGCACATACAATTTATTAGCTTCTTTGATGTGAACTGAGGGAAATATTGTCCCTTTTAGTCCAAAAGAGTTACCAAAACTGAGCTGCAGTGTGGCATATGTGGTTCCTTAATGGAGTAACTACAAATGTTGCATTCAAATAACAGGAGGCTGCTTTGATTGTAAATCCTCCCTTGTAAACAATAGTCAAATAATATTCCACCCAACATGGTTGAATTGCATTTAACCTCTTACTTTGGTGGCTTTGAGTCATTAAATGTCTTGCAACAAGACTGCAGAACTGATTCTACTGGGATCAATATAGACTGTGTCAAGATGGTACCCAGATCCCGCTTAGTTCAACCTTCCAATGTCATAATAACACTATGCTGTCAGATGATGTATTTTCTGCTATTTGAGGAAAACTTGGGCCAAACCACAACCTTCTGCAAAACGCTGATGAAAATTCTCAGTCATCCAGGACATGGTAAATCCAAGAAAAGGTTAAAAACAAAACAACTGGACTTTATTTGTAACTGAAGAGATTTCGCTTCTCATCCGAGGAGCTTTCTCAATTCAAAGAAACAAGGAGTGTGGGATTCAAGTTACAAAGCAGAGGTGTTCTGTAAGCTTGCATAATGCAGATTGACACATGCAAAATCCACAGCATCTCTTAAAATCCAACAAATTCATCTCCAATGAGAATGATGTAATTATGTGCAGAAAAGGCCAGGGGTCCCCCTCCTTGGCTTCAGCCTCGTTCAGTTTCAAAGGATGATCAGAGATCTCTCAAAGATCACACAAGCCTCTGTCTTTGAAGCACTCACCATACACGCTTAGACATACTTTGGTGATGTGTATAAAATGTGTCAAAATGCCTTTCAGTCTTGGATGGTGTGTTTTAGTGTGGAAATGTCTATGTGTCAAATAAAAAAGCAGAGCTAGAAAGGGGTAGATAAGAGGACTCTTGGTTGTGTGTTAGAGATCACACATGATATAAAAGGAAAAGTGAGAAAACAAAATGGCTTGACTGAACTCACTGTTAGGTGCTGGAAAAGCCATGCTCTCATGATATTGGTGGCCACTTTAGGAAAAATCCCTCTCTTCTTGTTGTGTTTCTTCTCTTTATCCGGGTCATCATCATCCCCCGTGCTCGGTGAAGCCACACTGTTGTCCAGGCCGTCACCTGTCACATGACAAGAAACAGGAAGAGACAGCAGAGATGAGACTTTGACTTTGTTTACTTCCTGCATTTGCTGTGCCTTCACGTTCAAAAGAAATAAATCTGATTTTGAAGGAAATCTGGAGGGCTTTGTATGCACAGATGGATGGGTATAGAAACATGACAATGGCAAGCAAAGAATGGCTGGAAAACAGCACCTCATAAATGCATCCATTTTTAATACATTTATAAATAACCCTGCCTTTCATTCCCCCCCCCCCCCCTCCCTCATCCCTGAAAACACAGTAAGCGCTCACATCCTTCTGTGAGAAAGAAAGTGAAAATGGGGAGCACAAAGGACTTGTAAGGTCGCATTTCCCCACTCTCCCATCCAAGCCAGCGCAGAATTGAAAATGACAGAGAGATTTAGTCTTTATTATCCTGAGGGGAAAATAGTTATTGAAGTGTCGCCCCAGCGCATTCTGCCATTTTACCTGAGGTGGAAAGAGTAACACGGCACCACAAAAGGCAAGGTTGCGAGGAGGGGGGCGGCAGAAAATAAAAGGCAAATAGGTGGAAAAAAGGAAGTCAAGATGCACAAACAGCATGAACAAAGCTTGCTGATTTTCATAACAATGGCGTCATGGCTGCTTACAGCAACCTGTAGGTCTTCGATAAGACTCTATTAAGGCCAGTTTAACCTCACCTGAGGGGAACAGTGAAATGGAGCATTTGAGCTGAGCACTGAAAGGGAAAGTGAAAGCGAAGTGCTCCATGGGCCTTTTTTTGCATTCAGGCTCAACAAAATTAACTCAAACAACTCATTCAAAACCACCCAATTACTCTATGCATTCTATATAGTGCCAGTAGAGAAAAGACAGCTCTTCAAATCTGTCACTGTGAAAAGCCTAATTGTTATTATCATTATTCACAAATATGAGCCATCCTCAAAGATGATGATAATCATTAAAGAAACATGAGGCAAACTAAACAAGTGGCATCCTAACAGTGGGATATTTCAGCAGCAGATTACTGACTTATGTCCCACTGCTCCCCTCTTGACTGGAAAAGATGAAAAGCAAGAAGGAAAAAATAAATAAAAAGCGCCAAAGCAGCCAAGAATTGGATCCTGTTATTTATTGATTACACACTAAGCACTTCTAAAGCTGCTTGCTTTATTCACTGTTGCAAGAGTTGATACCTGCATCGATGCAGGATCACACTCCAGTAGTTTTCAGGGGGCGACACCCGGAACCTTGCTAAACCGTGAGCTCAGATTCATTGATAATTAATGGGGATATTGGTGCTAATCCGGTTGGAGATGACTTTTTTCCAGCCTGCCACATCAATGGAATAATCAAGGGCCTAAAACCCAGGCCTTTGCTCCCCATTACCTCAGGCAAAAGAATTCCTGAAAGCATGCCTGGAGGGCACTTGAATTATATACACCATTAGGACAGACTCTCGACAAACCATATGAAACAACACACTTGACCAGCTCTCCTGTTCTCTCCCAACTGCTCTAGAAGAAGGAGATGCATATGCACACATATTGGAGGCTGTTTTAATGAACCTCATGTGGAAGTGGAGGTGGCAGTAATAAGGGTGGGTGGGGGTAGGGGGATAAAACAGGAGCAGACTTTGCATTGATGCTGCAGCTCCGTTGCAAGCACCACCCACTGTGCATTGATGATGCAAATATGAAGATCAAGCAAGGGGTTCATGCAGCATCCCCAAAAGGCGAAGCAACACAGCTGATTGGAGTATTTATGATCAGTTTACTGAAAGTTGATTACAACAGTCCAAGACACATGGATATCTATTTTTTAAGGATGTAAAACAAATAAAACGGCAAAATCCTAACATTTTTTAAATGATGCTAATCATTTTATTGAATGAGTGATCCAAGAATGCATTAACAACGCTTCATACAAGCACATACTGTACACAGTGAATACAGTTACCAGCTTCTCAGCTTCTCTCTGTCCTGAAAACATGCTCACATTGCAAGCTTCAGTTACATCATTAGTCTGGGACAAATACAGCCTGAGCCTAACAAGTGAGTGAAGTTTTTTTTCTTCCTACTGTTTCAGGGCTAAAATACACCCACCCTTCTGTCTCTTCCCAGCTGCCTGCTGGAAAAAGACGGGTGAGGTGAGCCGAGGCCCTGTAATCTAAGACCAGATTTTCATTGGAAGCAAATGCTTTCAATCCGTTGTAAAGACCGGCTCATGTTCAGCAAAGCCTACAATAACAAACCTAGGGGCTCGTCCCATGCGAGTTGGGAAAACAGAAGCAAACGGCCAGAAAACCAGCTTGGAGAGTGAAAGAGAAAGTGTGCAAGCTCAAGAAAAAAGTGAGATTCCATAAGAAGAAAATAAAAGAAGAGGAGGGAATTGGAAAATGCATGAAGATAAATCACAAAAGTACAAAAAATAATTAATTAATTAATTTTAAAAAATCTATATGAGCTCAGTAACATTTCACTTGCTTCCATTTTTATGCCTGATAACTCAAACCAGACAGGAAACACTAACACATCTCCATATTTGTTTCCTTTCTTTTCCTTCTTTAAACTTCTAAGTCTGACCTATGCACACTTACTTTTACTAGAAGGGAAGAAAGAGGTAGAAGGTCTGGTCAATTTTATTGGCATTTCCATTTTCGGTGCAATTTGATACCAATCACGTCTACAAGGTCTGGGGCTAATTTCTGCTTTTCTTTAACCCCAGAAAGTGGGAAGACTGAAAAAGGGAGAAAGAGAGCACAAATGAGGAAGGACGAGGCAAGAAAAGGTACTGAAGCTGTGTTCAGCAACCCAACACATTGGGGAAAATTTAATGGTGTTACCACAGTTGTGTCACTTGATTTTGAACATGCTCAAAGAATTTGTGTGAGAAAACGTCTCTCATAACAGTCACTGAATATGGTTGCATGCATCTCAAACCAATCTTAGTCAGTTTATGTAAAGTCTAAAGAAATACATCTGTATTTTAATACCTACATGGAAAATCAGGTTGAAACACACCCTGATGATAAATAGTAATTTTTTAAGAAACTGATCCAAATCTGCAAATTCTGTTTCAAAAGTGTACTCCAGTAGATTAAATTTAAGAAATGTTGGGGTGGTTGTCAAGGTGAATGCAAAGAGGGCAGAGAAGGGTACAATGTGGGTAAAGATGGGCAATCAGACAATGAGCAGACTCTATAGATTTGCATCTCTCTTTTAAGCCCCACATGGAAAACTTGGTAGAGAAACTAAAAATTAAACTGGGTTTCTTTTTCAGAAACAGATCCCGTCTAACTTTGAATGCTAGGAAATGCCTTGTGACTACTACTTTCCTTCCCTCTATTCGCTATGGTGACATTATTTACATGAACGCTCCTACAAGAACCCTGCAGATGTTGGATGCTGTCTATCATGGTGTGCCAAGTTTCATAACTGGCTGTAAATATCGTATCCACCAGTGCACCCTGTATTCACTGGTTAACTAGTCATCATTAACTTCACACAGACTTTCTCATTGGTACATTTTCATCTTTAACTCACTTCTTGGTCTGCTGCCTTCATACTTCTCCTCCTACATGTCACTGCATGAGTGCAGCTACAGCATGCGCTCTCAGGACATTATTACCTGCAGTGTTTAAAAACAGGTCTCTTGTAAATGAGTCATCTAGGCTCAATGAGACTAACCTGTATAAAAAAAGGTTGAATGAATAAAGCCTCATGCACTGTAAAGCTCGGTCTGTCCTGGACCGGCCACACTCGACCCAGCTACGGTCTTCCCCAGCTCTGGTTTTGATTGCTTTCAGCAGAGTGCCACCTCAATAGGAGTGGGATCATCATAGCAAGACTGCACCTCGTCGTTTGTCTATGGCACTGGTGCTATTTTTTTTTTTTGTAATTTTTTTCTAACAAAAAATAAGAGCTCTCTTTATCACACAACTAGCCTGAAGTAAGTAGCTGAAAGAAATGGTGGTAAGGAACATTTGTTGGAAGTATGACACATCTGTGATGTGACCCCCGAGCCAGTGAACTAGTCAATGGCCAGCAGTCTGCTGATGTCAAATCTGCAGCACCAGACCAGCCCGAATGGAAACCCAGGTCTCTGGCTTCCAAAAACGGAGATGGAACTGGGACAGACTGCCTAATGCAAACACTCAAAACCCGGGGCAGAACCTGGGTCGGGCCAGTCCTCACTGTGCACTTGCCATAAGACAAGCTTTACTAGCCATGCACACAAAAATAGGCCATGCAAAACACAATCACACAGCTCACCGGTCACTTGGTCACTAACACTCAGAAGTCAGTGAGACTGCAAGTGAAAATTATAATATTTTCAAATTTTCCTGCAGCCCAGTAAGAAAATACCCTTAGCATGAAACTGACAAGGTTCGTGTAATTATTTTCGGCTCCTCTAATGGTGTCTGTAACTCATCTCAATTACATTATCCAGACTAGAGAAGTAACACAATGTAAAGAAAGGTAACAGTCTTCTCCAGTATTCTATTTTTGCAAACTATGTGAAAAAACATTGTGCTGTATGGACACAGTGCCAAATGAAAATGGGTCTGATGTTTTCACATGTGCATACAGCCTCTCAAAGTTACTAAAATTGCCTAATAAGTAAAAGAACAGAGATAAAACTTTATTTTTTCCTGTGAGGTCATTTTAGATCAAGATGCACAAAAAATATTTCAAATATATTTAATTTCTAAAAATGAGAGGACAGCATGGTGGCACAACTGGTAGAGCTGCTGCCTCTCAGCAAGAAGGTTGCCAGTTCAAATCCCAGTCCAGGGGCCTTTCTGGGTGGAGTTTGCATGTTTTCTCTTTGTATGCGTGGGCTAGCTCCGGGTACTCCAGTTTCCTCCCACAGACCAAAAACATGCATATTAGGCTGATTGGTAACTCTAAATTGTCCCTAGGTGTGAGTGAGAGAGTGAATGGTTGTTTGTCTCATTTGTCTCTATGTGTCCCTGTGATGGACTGGAGATCTGTCCAGGGTGCACCCCGCCCCTCG